GTTTTGGCAGAAATACTTACAGATTTAATTGTTAAATTTTTGGAATTTCAAAATCGTGAGGCCACTACTGCCGCCACTGGACATCATGTTATTCTTAACCAGCTACTGTTGCCTTTTCAGCAGATCTGAGTGTTGGGGTAAAATCCCAAATAATGATGGTGGGTCTGGTGTTGAGATATTGAATGTGATCAAAGTAGAGAGAGAGAATAATGTGGACATCATCTGCCTCACATGTAGGGGAAGGTTTGGGATGGGAGTATACTTGGGTTTTTGGTGATGGAGAATGGGCACTGGTGAAGGTACGGGTGTTTCATTGTATGACTGAGACTTAAACCCAAAAGCGTTGTAGCTGTTCTCAAGGTGATTCAATAAATAAAATTATAAAAAGTGGAAAAAAGAAACTAAGGTGGAGTTCATGCCCAATTCAATCAGCCAATCAGTGGCTGAACAAATAGCAGTACTCCTACATAAAAAAAAAAATACACCTTGATTATTCTAGACTGATATTAAGGTCTTTAATTTATTTTAAATAAAATTTTGTGTCTGGTATGAGAATGGCATATGAGTTTTTTTTTTTGACATGTAACCAACGAATTTCCCAACACAATTTGTTAAAGGAGCTTTCCATCCTCCACTTTGTATTCTGTTCCTTTGTCAAAGAGAGTCTGTATCTGTACTCTCACTTCTATACCATTGGTTAGAGAGTCTGTCCATATTCCATTGTCATACTGTTTTTATTTCTACAGTTTTATAGTGTAATTTTAAATTAGGGAAGAAGGATTCTCCCACCTTCTTTTTCTCTAAAGTTTTATTCTAGGGATCTTATTAATTCACATAAATTTCAAAAACATTTTATATGTCTTTTTTAAGTGTTGTGGGTATTTTTATGGGGATTGCATTGAATCTGTATAGTGCTTTGGTCCAGATTATCATTTTGAGGACATTAATAATTTCAATCTATGAATAGGGAATAAGTTTTTATTTCTTTGTGTCTTTTTTAATTTATTTCAGTAGTAATTATTTCTTTCTTTGTATAACCTTTAATTCTTTTGTTAAGTAAATACACAGGCACTTGATTTTCTGAGGCACACTTGTGAATGGGAGAAATTCCTCTTATTTCTTTGTGAGACTAGATTATGGTTTGCCAATTTAATTAATTTTTTCAAGAAATCAGTCTTGGTTTTACTGTCCTTTTTGAGTGTGCTTGTTTATTCTATGTATTTATTTTCTGCTCTCAGTTTTATTACTTTTTTCAGCTTGCTTTGTATTACCTTTGTTGGTCTTTTTATAATTCCTTAAGATGTTCTATTAAATTATTTATCTAGGCCTTTTATTGCTTCCTCATCAAAGTTTTCACTTCTTGAAACTTCCCCTTAACACTGTTTTTGCTGTGTCTCATATGTTCTAAGTAATACATATCTTCATTCTTGATTGTTTCCAGGGATCTTTGATTTCATGATTTTTCTCTTTGACCCACAAGTTATTCAACAATAAATAAGTTGTTTAATTTCTAAGAGTCTGAAGATTTTTTCCATTTTATATTAATGATAAATTTCCATTTTTAAATCATTATTATCTGAGAAGATAATTAACGCCATTGCTATCTTCTTGATTTTATGAAGCTATGTTTTGTTACCCAGTATCTGATCTATCTGAGATAATGTCCCTTGAGCACTAGAAAAGAATGTGTACTCAACTTTTCAGCATGGAAGGGCTTTTTATACGTCTGCTAGGTCCAGCTTTTCTGTCTTTTCCATTAAGACTAGGGTTTCCTTGTTGACTTTCTGCCTAGATGATCTATCTAGCAGTGATAGAGGGGTATTAAACTCTCCTCCTACGTTTGTGTTACTGTTAATGTCTTTCTTCTGTCTGTTAGCAGTTGTTTAAATATGAACCATAATTGGAAGCATGTGTTTAGGAGTATGAGTTCATTATCCTTGATCATTAAGTAATCACTCTTTTTACCCCTTATGGCCTTTTAAAATTTGAATGGTATGCATTAAAAAGATTGGACATAACCAGGATGTGGTGAACCAGTGGTTGGTTCAAACTCTACAAAGAGAGTGTAGAAATTTCTGAAAATAATAATGACCCAAAAATGATCAGTGTAGTGCTAAGTACAATAGCTAGTTCTAGCAATGTTACCTAAACAAAAATTTAGAAAAGAAATTAATCAGATTATGGATGAATTTAAAAATCTTGTATAACGAAAAGATTCTGTTAATACACATCCGATCATGCATCTCTTCAACCTAAAATATTTTCTTATAAGGGCTGATTTAAAATTTCCCACTCTGGTATATAGCCATCTTACATATGGCTTTCTCCTTACCTCTATGACCTTCACTCTTTCCCACATTAAATTAATAAAACAACAGTGAATGTTTTAGTTTTGATAAATTTGTATATTTTCAGTGTCCAGACTGTTTTGTCCTTAAATAAGCCCCTAAGAATTGAAAAGTGCTAATTTTTCTGGTTGGATGATGCAGTCCTATTTTTATTTGTTTTACATTTCTATTTTTCTACAGAGGACTGGAGCAATTAGCACAGTGGTAGGGCGTTTGCCTTGCAAGCGGCCAACATGGCCGACCTGAGTTTGATTCCTCCGCCCCTCTCGGAGACCTTGTCAATCTACCGAGAGTATCTCGCCCACCCGGCAAAGCCTGGCAAGCTACCTGTGAGATATTCGGTATGCCAAAAGCAGTAACAAAAAGTCTCACAATTTGTTGTGAGATGTTACTGGTGCCCGCTCGAGCAAATTGATGAACAACAGGAAAACAGGGCTACAGTCTTTCTATGGGCAGCTGGAGATTTCTTCGTTTCTCTAAATTATCTCAACACAGGATGTTTTCTTATGTGTTGTGTGCCTCCTAATTTTGGGTGTAAAGTAGATTTCTAATAAATAATGGCCAAAATATTATAAATTTTTAGAGGCATATTTAAACACAGGATTAACGCCTGAGCATCACTGGAGGGTGGCCCCCAAACCACAAGAAAACTCCACATAATTTATAAACATTAAGTAACAATAGAATTTTATGCATGATGCATGTAACCTTTAGTTACCTTAATTTATTGGACTGGGAAATAAAAGAGTAAAATGTAACTCAGAGTAAGTATGTGGAAAGAAATAGGAGCACAGGGAAATTAATTGTTCCTTACACTGTGAATAACTCATGTGTTCAGATTCAACCATCATTTCCAAAATAGACACCACAGACTCAACACTAATGTGTTCAGATTCACCATCATTCTCTAAAGAGATACCACAGAAAGCAGAAGAGCAACTGTAAATACAGAGTAAGAAAGAGCTAGGAACTAAACTGGATGAAGTGGTTGAATTAGGCAAAATATTTATATTTTCTGACATTTAGATGAGGCAACTCAGGAGAAATCTTATCAAGAATTTTAAATGCTGTTAAGACTCTGTTAAAGAAAACAGATTTTAGACACCTCCCCAGCCCCCCAAAAATAAACTCTATGTTTTTTTCCTCACACTCAGAAATATGGGTTGGAATTAGAGCACAGTGGGTAGGGCGTTTGCCTTGCACATGGCTGACCGGGTTTGATTCCTCCGTCTCTCTCGGAGAGCTCTTCAAGCTACAGAGAGTATCCAGCCTGCCCACCTGACAAGCTCCCCATGGCGTATTCAAAATACAAAAAACAGTAACAACAAGTCTCACAATGGAGATGTTACTGGTGCCCGCTCGAGCAAATCGATGAACGATGGGAGAACAGTGCTACTCAAAAATATATTAAAACATTTATAATATTAATATGTAAGATTTTTACTAATTCTCATTAACAGTATTTTTCTAATTTTGCATCTTTTCACAGGTACATTTGCAAGTTCACAATCTTTCAAAGTAAACAATAAGCAGTTTCTAGTTCTGACTCATAATCACAGTGGAAGTTGCAGGTTAGATTGTACTTGGTCAGTGAAAATTGATCTTTGCATGGCAGAATATTGCAAGAGCAAAATCTCATTCTAAACTAGTTTAATCCACAGAAACAAAAAAATTGATTTTATTTCTGTATTGTTCATAGTAAGTAAGTATGCAGCAGTAGAAGTTCTGGAATACAAATCAAGAGAATCAGAGAAATAATAAATTAAAAATAGGAATAACTTTCCATTTTTCTGTGGCCATGTGGTCTGTCTTCTCTATATTTCTGAAATAGTATAATAAAAATAAATGTACACAGTTTTTCTAAAAATAAAATTTAATTGAGTGTCCTGTGTTCTATGTCAACAGTTCTCTACTGATTCAGCTACTGCAAACATTATGACAGGGGAAATGAAGAAAATGATGGGCTTGTATTTCAGCTGGTTAACTGGCTAACATAAAGTTTTCAGGAGGTGATAAATTAATATAATACATACTGAAATAATGTAAAAACTTCTAAGATAATCATTGTCACTGTTATCCCGTTGTTCATCGATTTGCTCGAGCGGGCCCAGTAAGAGAAAGCTCTTTGGTTCTTATGGAACGGGGAAGATCCTAAAATCATGATCACTCTGATCACATAAAGCCTTGCTCATTTATTAAGAAAGAACTATCAGTTTTACCCAAGTAAAAGGTAAAAAGGTAAAGGCCCTCCCGTTGATCGTCGATTTGCTCGAGCAGGCCCAGTAACGTCTCCATTGGAGACTTTGTTGTTACTGTGTCTGGCATATCGAATACTCTCGGTAGCTTGCCGGGCTCTCCGAGAGGGGCGGAGGAATCGAACTCGGGTCGGCCATGTTGGCCACTTGTAAGGCGAACGCCCTACCTGCTGTGCTATATTCTTAAATTATAGAGTTATAAATAAAGGTAAAAAGATAGAGTCTAACAATTTATAGGATGGATTGAATAAAAATGTCATTAATATAGCTAAGATTTCAATCCCCAAATACTACCTGGTGCCTAAGTAACTAGCACTTCAAAAGTATGTATTTTCTCTTCTACTTTGAATAAACATTCTGAGAGGTAACATTATCATTACACTTTTGGCAGTTGAGTATGTTGAAGCTCCTAGTGGCTAATTATCTGTCTAAAGCCAGCAAGGAAGACTCAGAAGCAGAATTTGAAGTCAGAGCTGCCGGAAGCCAGTGTTTGCTCTGTATTTCTTCTGCATATCGTTGCTTTATACCCATAACATCAGCATTATTTCAGCTGCCACTAAGGATTGCAACAGTTCCTCTGCTGGGAACTTAAATCAGCAGCTGCATTTTTATGTGATGAAAGACCTAGAAACCACTTCCATATGGAGCACAAGCAAGAGTGTTTGGCTTCTGCCCAATATTTTCTCCAGAATTGCTTTCCAATATTCCCATCTGTTTTCTAATCCTAAATGAGCTTAGTACTGGTTGAGGTATCTTCTATACTGTTGAGAATAACAACTGATGCATAACCTATGCATATTCATGAGTGGAATTATAGCAATGCATGAATGCTCTACATTAGTGCCTGATAATCAACATCCACTTTCTCTTTTTTTCTGAGTTGTTGTATAAAATAAAGGAAGGTGGATTTAATAAGCTCAGCCACTAATCAAAGATAATTACACCATTGTCATTCCAGGCATTTATCTGGGTCCCTGTTAGGCAAACAGGAGCAAGCTTTTAACTTGCTGTCTTAAGATAAGTCCTATAAAAAGTGTAACAAGAATGATGCTGGAGTCTCTTTGTAATCAGACATGTGCTTTGTAATCTGAATCAGAGATGCTCTTTGTAATCATCAGAGATCCTCTTTGTAATCTGAATCGGATGCTCTTTGTAATCTGAAGAGCATAGCAAAAAATTGAATTCAAGCTTGGTAAAATGTTTTGCTATTATTAAATTTTAAATAATTAATTTCCAATTATTAAGTTAATTAAATGTTTTAAAAGAAAAAAACAAGATCCTGAAAATATAGATATATTTGAATAAAATGAAAGCAAGCTTGTGAGCCTTTCTAGGCATGTTTCCTTTAAAAACTAAAGTGTTTATTTGTAGGCTCATTTTTTCATGCCATTTTTAGCGGAAAAATGATCATTTCAGTTGTCTTTAATTGTGGCATGAATTGAAGTCAATATAGATCATAAGACTGGTCATAACTTTTAGGAATAATAGCACAGCGGGTAGGGCGTTCGCCTTACAAGCGGCCAACATGGCCGACCCGAGTTCGATTCCTCCGCCCCTCTCGGAGAGCCCGGCAAGCTACCGAGAGTATTCGATATGCCAGACACAGTAACAACAAAGTCTCCAATGGAGACGTTACTGGGCCCACTCGAGCAAATCGACGATCAACGGGAGGGCCTTTACCTTTACCTTACCTTACTTCTGCATGTTGGGCACTGTTCTGGGCATTAATGATACAACAATGAGCAAATACATAGCCATAGCTCTTAACCCACATGAAGCTTACACTTAGTCAGAAAAGTAAACTTAATAGGAAAATTAAACATAAAATATGTAATAAGAAAATGGGATGCACACAAAGAAAGAATATTGTAGGGGTAATGGTCATGTAAATATAAATTAGGAGGTGGCTGGCGAACTACACATCAGGATTTGAGTGCCGGCTTCCCTGGGAATTGGTTGTTGAAGTAAGACAAAATTGAGTGATTAGATGTAAGGATAAAAGACATTCTAGTCTTAATACTCTTAGAAAAGAGAATTACCTGCCCTAGGATCTGAAATAAGAACTGACCACATCCAGCTCAGAAACTGAGTGTAAAATGGGAGAAATGAGTATGTAAGGCAAGATGAGGAGGCAAGATGACGCTGACGCTGGTTGAACCCCTCTTACTCTCCCAAACCCGAGGGTATCCAGCCCCCACGGCAGAGCCTGGCAAGCCACCGGAGACATACCAAATATGCCAACAACAGTAGCTAAAATGGGTCTCATTTCCCTAACCCTGAAGGAATCTCCAGCTGAGTTGGGAAGAAGGAGAGGGCTCGTGCTAAGCAGACAGCACGCAAGTCAATGGCCAGGAAGGTGACCTGCAAACAGTTGGCCACCAAGGCACCCTGCCAGAGCACACCAGCCACGGGTGGCATGAAGAAGCCACACTGCTTCCGGTCAGACACCTTGGCGCTGCGTGAGATCCGCCAGCTGCAGGTCCAGCTGCTGGTGCACGAGATCACGCAGAACTTCAAGACCGACCTGCGCTCTCAGAGTTGGGCCATCATGGCACTGCAGGAGGCATGGGAGACCTACCTGGTGGGGCTCTTCAAGGACACCAGCCTCTGCGCATTCCTCACCAAACGCATCACCATTATGCCCAAGCTGGCATATCGCATCCGTGGAGAGAGAGCATAAAGTTTATGATGCTAAAATCAGAGGCTGGAGCAATAGCACAGCCGGCAGGGCATTTGCCTTGCACGGGCTGGACCAGGGTTCGATTCCCAGCATCCCATATGGTCCCCTGAGCACCGCCAGGAGTAACTCCTGAGTGCAGAGCCAGGAGTAACCCCTGTGCATCGCCGGGTGTGACCCAAAAAGAAAAAAATAATCTCAGGGCTGGGACAAATGGAGACGCTACTGGCACCAGCTCCAGTAATTGATGATTAATGGGATGGAAGTGACAGTGACGGTGAGTATGTATGTAGCAAGGTAGTTTCCAAAACATGCAAGTTATTTATAGATGAAGTTATAGATGTTATTGTGTTATATGCAAGTAACTGGTAAAAAAATTTATTTGAAAAGCCTGACATTGGTTGTAAAAGGTCACATTAATTGGAGAAAAATAGTGAATTTTTGTTTTTATATAAAAAAAAATTTAATTTTTTTTAAAGATAGCTCAATGCAAAATGGTCAGAGGAAGTCAGTGTGAGAGGATCTACACTGCTTAGGATTCTATTGGAGTAGCCTTTGGATGTGCTCATATTATGTAGGTCCAAAATCAAGAATAAGAGTATGTGAGTGGATAGTTAAGAGATACAATTGAGGGAAATTGGTAATAAATTAAATTTGATAGCTAAGAACAAGGGAAGTAAAGTATCGGAGATGATTTCTAGTGTCTAGCTTGTGAAAATAAATGAATGGCATAACAGAGATAAGAAATATGACCATAAAATAATTTGTATTTTATTTTTATAAAGTAGCATTGTCAGTGCAAAGTTCCAACTTCTCAGATCTACTTTTTATCAGTGGAGCATGGAGAAATCTTTTTTAGTCTGTTAAAGAAGTTACAAATATACAGTATTTTTTTTTGCATAGAATCTACCTTACAAATGAAAAATAAATGAAATATGTTAGGTGTATCAGGTGTTAAATCACTAAAAGCAGGATAAATATCCAAAGTGCTCATGTTTGCAACAAGGAGAAAAAATATTGTTGCATCAAATGAATATGTACATATAGCAGCTTACTACTAAAATTAAATAATACAAATAAAATTGTTATTCAGGGCTGGAGCAATAGCACAGCAGGTAAGGTGCTTGCCTTGCACGCGGCCAACCTGGGTTTGACTCCTCTGTCCCTCTCAGAGAACCCAGAAAGCTACCAAGAGTATCCCACCCACACAACAGAGCCTGGGAAGCTCCCCATGGCGTATTCAATATGCTGAAAACAGTAACAACAAATCTCACAATGGAGACATTTTTGGTGCCTGCTTGAGCAAATCAATGAACTATGAGAGGACAGTGATACAGTGCTACAAAATTGTTATTCACAAAGATAAGTAATGCTGGAAGACAATTAGATTTTATGAAGTTTTGAGTGAAAATAAAGAAATCAGTTTAATTTCATTTCAATTATCTATGAGACACCCTGCCATAGTAAACAAAAAAAAAAACATAGTTCATACTTCCTTCTAGTTTCATCTAAAATCCAAGAATGTCATCAAGATTTACTAGATATGAGAAAGAACAGGAATATGCAGAAATGTCTCAAAATTAATAGCACAAAAGCAAATGAAGCAGTCTCTGATTAACATACTATTTGAAATCAGTGGACAAAAACTACAGTAGCAGTTCAAATAAATAGCTTTATAAATTTCAGGGAAAAGTTATAATACATAGATAACTGGTGGTTTCAGAAGAGACTATATGGAAATTAAATAGAAATGATATCTTTTATCTTTATTTTATCTTATTTTGCTTTTTTAAAAATTTTTATTAGTGAGATACCATGAGGTATTTTGCTATTTTTTTAATAGGACAAAGCCAACAATACTAGGAAGTCTGGGGGCCATGCCAGAAAGTGTTGTGCAGGCCTGATTATTAAATGCTCACACATGAGTCCCATACTATGGTACTCAGAGTCTGGCAGTACTGAAGATCCAGCAAAGGTATACTCATTCAAGGGAGGCATTCACTGCCAGGTAGCAAACTCAGACCTCTCACGTACAAGGCATGTGCTCTATCATTCCAATTTCATCCTTGGCCATACAAATAGAAAATTTAAACAATAACATAAAAAATAACTAAAATTTAAGATTGAAATATCAGATAATTATAAAAATAGTGTCATGTACTAAAAATAGAACTTTAACATATATTGAATATAAAAAAGAGAAAGATGCTAAGGAAAATATTAATACCCAAGTGATTTACAGCACGTAAAGATCTAGTCATCATTATGAGTCATTAGAGCTCAAATCATAAAGATGAAAGGGTGGGGTAGAATAGCACTTGCAAAAATAACTGATGGTTAAAATTTCCCCAAACAGTGGAAATTATCAACTTAAAAATAAAAGGTTAACAAAACCAACGAAAGAGAAATACAATATTTGGTACCTAAATAAATCACTGTACACCAATGAAAAAGTACATTTTTGAGGGCTGGGAGACAGCTGGGTGGAAAAAGTGTCTGCCTTGGGCAGGAAGTACACCCCATCTACCACCACACGCACCCAGTGAGATCCTGGCAGTTCCATTGATTCTAACCTCTGACAGCACAATTGATTACTGACCATAATGTAGCCAGGAGTATGCAATCACGCAAATAAAGGGCGCACACCCTGACAAGCACCTCAGTTCAAAGACTGTGCAAATACCATGAACAGAAGTGTGACTTCACAGTCTGTGCCAGCATGTGTGATATGTGATGCCTACAAAATCAGAGCAAGCTCTACAAAATTATACCATCACCACAACCAAGGGTGTATGTCACCTGATGATAATCACATGATAATCACATGTATGTCACATGATAATCACAGTATCTATGACAGAGGGAAGGGAAGGAAAAATATGAGTAATGTTTTGAAAGCGGTCATGAAAATATGAGAGCATTAGGGGGAAAATAATATCAATGACTGGTAATAGCTTATCAGAAATGGTGACTATGAGACAACAACACAACTTTTTAAAAATGCTCCAAGAAAAATACAAACTTGCCAATATAGATTCCTAAATCTCAAGACTTATATAAACCTCTGTAAATTACTAATTACTAATAAACTAATTAAAAGTATTGAGGAGTCAAGGATGTGGATCTACTTGATAGAGCACTTGCTGGCATCTGTCTATCCTGGCTACCACATACTCCACCTCAAGCTCCAGCTGAGAGTAGCGCTAGAAGTTCCTCAGTACTACCTTGGAGGCCCCATAATAGCTAACCACACACAAAAAAGTATCAAATGGAAATAATTGGTAAAGGACAATGAAGTACGTTAAATAACACTTCTGGAAAATTACTTTCAAACAAACTTAGGTAAAACACCACACTTGGCAGAGCATGGAAGCATTAGACTCAGAGCACCAGCTGGGTTTATGGGAATGGTACAGGATCACCTTAGTAACACTGGGGCAGCCTTTATTCAAAACAAACAACAAAACTCTCACCAGATATGGTAACTCTGAAGGCACACATAAAAGACATTTTTTCCTTAATGCTTTAAAGTTCAAGTAAGTTATGAAATAAAATCAGTACCATAATACTGTGGAGTTTATAAGATAGGTAAAAATGTAAAATACAAAGCAATAGAACCAAAAGAGGAGAAAGAAATACATTATACATGTAGGGGTTGGAGCGATAGCACAGCATGTAGGGTGTTTGCCTTGCACATGGCCAACCCCGGTTCGATTCCCAGCGTCCCATATGGTCCCCTGAGCACTACCAGGAGTAATTCCTGAGTGCAGAGGCAGGAGTAACCCCTGTGCATTGCCGGATGTGATCCAAAAAGCAAAAAAAAAAAAAAATTATACATGGAAGGTTGTAAAATAACACTGTTCTGTCCTTCCTGCATAACCTCAGGAATAGTTGATAGTTTATTGGACTGAGGAAAAGAGAAAAACACCTTAAGAGGTATCTTGCCCTTGAGCAGTCAGGAAGGGCTTTCTTATGTTGATTTGGCTACCTGACTGGGTGGAGTGTCAGCCAGAGGAGAAGGGAGCTGGAGAAGGAGAGAGCAGGGCTGAAAGATGGACTACCGAGAGACTAGCAAGGGGAACATGTGCTTGAGAGAACCTAGGCCCTCCACAACATAAGTTCTTCTATGGGATAAACTTCCTTGTAATAAACTGCCACTAAGATCAACCGGCCTGGCCCTCGTCTCTTCCTTCATCTGCCATTGGCCAACAGCCGTCCCGATGCAGGCCACACACAGCGGCTCTAGGGCACCGAACGCCTGCGGTGAGATAGAACCCTCCAGAGAGCCCGCGAACACACAACCTTCTGCGTGCATAGTTTTTTACAGAAGGTGATACAATTTTAATTTTTAAAGTCTTGTCAAAAGTTAAAGGAATCTCTAAAATGTTATGCAAAATGCTAAGTATGGCCATAATAAAGTGAACATTGACTACCAATAATAACTGCCCAAGAGCAGACAGAAAAAAAGGAAAAAAAATAACATGGGGAAACTAAATTAAACGTTTTCAATAATTTTTATGTGAGAATTTTAGTACATTAAATGTGTGAAAATACAGTAAGCATCCAAGACTGACTCTTAGACTCAGTAAACAGTAAGATAAAAATAAATTCTGACTTCTCAACAATAGTAATTGGAAATCAAAATACAATAAAGTCAGATATAAAATTATGAACAAAAGTTCTTTTTTATCTAGCTGTAATCTAAATATCTAGCCAAGAGGCTAGGGATATTGCTCAAGTGTTAAATTGCATGTTTTACATAAGCGAGGCCATGAGTTCCCTGAAACTTCAACCTTCACTCCAGAGCCAATATGATGCAATCTTATCAGCCGACAGAACTGCTGCCGTGGTCCTAGTGGTCCCAAGCAACTCACCTTCGGTACTACACCATCAGGCCAACATGAGATGGAGCATCATGGCCCTTACACGAATCTAACCAGGCAAAATATACAACTAGCATGAGGGTAGGAAAAAAATCATGCTAGCAGGAGAATGGAGTAGTT